ATTGCCTTTCATTTGTCTCTTTCATTATATAACACATTCTTTTGCCATATATTCACTCGTTTGATGCGATCACCAATTTAACTAATTTTCAATGTATTCAAACGCTAATCTACTTAAAGCATATTTGCCCTGTATATACACTATTTGGCTAAATAATGGTTTATGTAATAAAAGAACTTTAGATAAAAAATAAATAATTTTACTTAATCAATTTTATAAAAAAAAGTGATTAAAAGATTTATATCGCAAGAAATTTTAATTTATTTCAATTTTATTAATGAGTATAGTAATAAAGATTAAAATTAATAAAACAAAATTTAGTATTATAGAAGATTAAATTTAAAAATTACTTTAAATATGTTTTATAAATCAAACTCAACTAAACTTCTAAGTTATACTGTACAGTATAATATTGTATGCAATACCAATTATTATTGCACTTATTTATATTGACATTTTGTGAGTTAATAATATAAATTGGGGAAAATATGAATATAAGTATAAAAATGGAAAGAGAATTGAGTTATTGATCAGTGGATGTCATACACACAATGTTTGAGTCTTTGGGTGTTTGGATCCTTCACTTAATAATTGATTGTTAAGAGACTTAAGTGCTATTTCTTGTTATTACTTCTGTTGTCACACTTAAAATTGTACTCCAAATACAAATAACTTATAAATCAATTTCAATTCTAATTGATTTATTTATAAATCAAAACATAGTTTTCTATGAAAAGTGAATTACCATTAAACGCAAATATTTTTCATAACTTTATCAAAACCATGACATATTTTGCATAAAATATTATTTTACACATTCTTATCACGTAAATTTATTTTTAAGACACGAAAAGATATGCAAATTTTAAGCACAAAAACCATTTGGTTTGATATATTAAGTAAAGAAAATACTTTATTTACTCTCTTTAGTGCTATTCTTCCCCATTATTGACTAAAATCGAGTGGAAATGAAATGAATAGACATTATATGAAGTGATTTGAGAATATGGTTACGACTCTGGATCTCAAGACTGTTTTCCATAAAGTTTTGCGCGTTTTTCTCTGCCTATCATTACTGTTGCGATTATATTCGTGTTCATTAAGGTATGGCTGTCCGGCCCGACCGCTAATTAAGCCCTGTTCCTGTCAGGAAATCACCAAAGGATTAGACGTCTCGTGCGAAGGTATGGACACAGTTTGATGAGTCAATCAAATGAATGAAACTCTAATTTATTGGCATTTATTTGTGTGGAAAGCCATCGCAAACCACATATTACTAGTAATAATGGATAGGCATTAGTATCGCATCACTTACTTATTGAGTCGATTTGCAGTCTATTTGGTAGTCGACTCGCTGACTATCGGAGCCCTAAACCAAAATATAATTAGATTTATTTGAATGGAAACTCTAATTACATTTACAGTTAAATAGAGATCAGAACTTATTCACTGCTTATTTAATGCTAATCGATGGGGTTTTTTGATTAACTGAGAAATAATTAATTTTCACAATTAATAAACAATTCAATTATAACTGAATTCAATGCAAATTAGGCGCCCGTTTAGAGCAGTTAAGGGAAGCGCTCGAGAATTTCGGCCAAACGGGACAAATAGTTTGGTACTTAAAGATGAGGAAAAACCAAATGACAACTTTCCCCTCATTCCTGTTGGACGGACTCGATGTGAGACATTTGGTGGCCCATCACTGCAACATCACATCCATCGACGACTCGGCGTTTGTCGGATTGACTGATCTCTTGGAGTCTTTAGATCTGTCACAGAATGGATTGCATGAGGTTTTCAATCATTCGCACAATTCTGTGCATTTCATTGGAAATGTTTGATTGAGTGTTACTGTGATATTCAGATCCCGAGCAAAGGACTGGAACCTCTCTCGGCTTTAATATCTTTGAATCTAAATTATAATTTAATCGAAACCATAAGAGCCGGTGCTTTCAAAGGCTTAATATCACTGCTGAGACTCTCTATGTATGGAAATAAGATCAAAACAATAGATGTGATGGCATTCACGGGAATTGGAGGCAATTTGACGCGAATTAATTTAGGAGGAAATCTATTGCCAGCCATTCCTTCAAAATCTCTTCAAAACTTAAAAGCACTACAAGTAAGCAATGAATTCAATACTTCATATTCAGTTTTGTTTTAAATTATTTATATTTACTGTATTTGAGAATATATTTGAATTTAATATGAGAATAGTATAATTCTGTAGACAAACAACTAAACCAAATTGAGAGATCACTTCAAAATGTTTACTCATCAGAGATATAGTTTTGAATTTGATTTAAAATTAAGTGCTTTTATTGCACATTAAGAATATATTTTGAATTCAATAGCCAAATGAATGCCTGAATATATGAATTGCATTATAGAGACTGCAATTACACGAGAATAAAATCAGTTCAATCAATGCCGACGAGTTGGATGGCATCCCATTGGCTCACAGTCTGGATGTCTTGAATCTAGCCATCAATCTGTTGGAAGAACTCAATGAAAATGCATTTTCAAACTTTGAAGCATTAAATTCATTGGATTTGGAGGGAAATCATATTTCGAGAATACATATCAATGCTTTCCAAGGCATCGAAGGTTTGTAGCAAATATTTTATGTAAATAAACAGTTCATAAAAAATTGAAAAACATATTATAAAGAATCGCTCGAATGGTTAAAACTGGGAGAAAACCGTTTGGAAGGCATTCCTTCTGCGGCGCTCAGAAATCTGACAAAACTCCGACAACTGGACCTCAGAGGCAATAATATTAGTTTAATAGCCAAACACTCCTTCAAAGAGTTTGGAAATAATCTCAAATTTATTTATCTCCAGAAAAACAAGTGAGTCATGAATTTTGATCACCAGTTAATGGGAGTTAATTTTTTGCACACTTTTATTCCTTACAACACATTTGAGCCAATCTTATATCGTTTTCAAACATCTCTTATATTATGATTTGATACGAATATACTTTACTATACGTTAGTGTACTATAAAGTCATACTTAAAAACTATTCCTAACATGACTTACGCTTTGTTCACAATTCCGCACAGAATGTGATGTTTTTATCGATTTCTATGCTATAAAAACTACTTATAGTCATATAATTTTTCATATAAAAACACAATGTATTGTATAACAGATGAGTATAACTATAGTGTAGTGTAGAGTATGTTTTTGACTGAAATCATTAAAAAATAGAAAACTCTAAAAAATCAATTACTGTAATGTATGGCAGAGGAAGTACTCTCTCATTATATTGCCTTTTCCTCGCAATTGTAAACATTTTCTTTAATATGTTTTAAAATAGAGTACAACCAAGTAGTCTGAGATTTGTAATACAAATTGTATAAGTTGTCTGGCATTTCCATGTGTATGTTATATGATTGCATACCAAATCTCTAGAACTTTTTATGAATCTCAGACTATTAGTAATTTTCAAGTAAAAAATTAATATTCATTTCTTTGATATTTGAAACATAGTTTACAATAAAATAAGTTTGGTATTACTTTTAAATCCTATAATAACTTACAATTTGCAACTTACAATCTACTGTACATACAGAATTTTAATATTGTCATACAAGTAAAAATTTTTAGAATTAAAATATTGAGCTTAAAGTTTTTGGGATTAAAATGTTGTGAACAAAGTGTTTGTAATTATTTTTATAAAGAATCAGAATATAGCGTAATATTTCACATAAAATAGTTGATACAATCGTTTCTATATAACTTTATATATTTTTAGTGCCATAAAATTTTGAGATAAATCTCTGTTTTGACATTTCATCTAAAATTTTAGATTAAAGATAGTTTCAAATACATGACTGGAATTTCTATTGAGCTCTCAATTTGATTCCAGATTTTGTGTTTCAATCCGATTATTATTACTTTAGTGAAGAATCCATAAAACAAAAAGAGAGTAAATATAGTAACTCTCGTTTAATTGTTTTATTGGTATCGCAATCCAATTCTTTATTAATACAATAAAACTCTTTTCGTTTTATATGGCGAGTAGTATCGAGAACATAGAGTCGGAAGCATTGGATAGTTTGGAGTCATTGGAGTGGTTTTATATTCATACAAACAAATTAAAGTCAATGCCATACAGAATATTCTCACCACTACTGGACTCACTGTCTGTGTTCGACGCTCACGGTTTGCACCACTTTTCCACTTTCAATACAATCTATATTTCATGCAATTCTCATCATTTATCATAAGTTCCTGAAATTTATGAAGATTTATGATAATTAATGTTCAATATCAAACAGTATTATTTGGGGTGTACTGTACTCAACGAACACCAGAAATTTCTTGTCAAAAGCGATAAATAGAAATAAATTTATAAAAAACTGAATTAGTAAAGTGCTGTATATTATTATAAAAGAATATTATACTAAATAATACAAGTTTATTTCTAGTAAAAGTCATATTTTCTCGAAAAGATTTATTTTAGAAATACTTAAAATGTTTTTGTCGTTAATTGTATGAAGATATCAAATGCAGACTTAATTTAAATTTCATGACACGTCCTCTTAAGTTATATCTTATATGAATTTTAAGCACAAAATAAATGTTTATTTAATGAATGATTTATTACAGTTTCCGCCTTTCAATCTTATTTTAATCTCTAAAGTAGTAAATCTCGACTAAAATATTGTTTCATATTTATGTCATACCATACCATATGTGTTCACATTTACCCATAATTTAATCTATTTTCATAGAATTTTTATTTTGCTTTTTAAAACCCATTTTAAAGTTTTGTAATTTAGCTTAAAAGTGACTTCAATTCTCAATACACCATACATTCACTGTATTTGTTGTAATCATTATTTTAAAAATACGATTCTTTAAGAATTGATGTGAAAATACAAGACATTCTACTGAATTGCCTCAAAAACTCATTTGTTTTCTTAGTTTACCATTGCTTTCAAATACAAATACAATTCTTTCAAAAGTCTATATTAAGTCTAAAAGCTATTTTTTTGATGTTTGGCGATCCCTTTGAGGACATAAATTTATAACTAGAGAATCTAATGAGACAATTAAGAGAATTTCACATAAATTTTAGATTTGAGTCCTTTCTATAACACTAATGAATTCACTAATTTATTAAGCATTTAATAGACTATAAAACAATGAATGAGATGAAAATAATAAATATAGATAAAATGCTATTTTAAATAATTGACTAATATATAGTAAAATATTGCAACTCATTTAGACAACCCGTTTGTGTGCGACTGTGGCATCACTTGGTTTAGAGAGTGGGTGCTAAAGGGTCGGGGATCTAATATCGTGAGTCTTCCCAAAGAAACCAAATGTCTTTCACCGAAGAGGCTCGAGAAGACACCAATCATTGAAATACCATACGATGTGCTGAGCTGTACGAACGCCAGTCCCACCGATCAGACATATCTGCCAACTATGCTATCGATTTGCTTTTTCTTTACATCTATTATCAGATGAACTGTTTTGAAGACAACTTGTTTCACGTATTTGTAGCAATTCTCTCGCAAAGGATTGTCTGAAATGTTAAGTTTGAATATGAATTGTTACCAAAAATCGTTTTGAATTCGGGGATAAAATGCTGTAATAAATGACAAAAATGATTTGATAAATGGTTTTGAAATTATATTATTTTATATATAAATTAAAAGTTGTGTAAAATTCATAGTTTGAATCATTTTTATTATATTTAAAGACAATCAGAAGTAATTTTTAAATCTAATTAATAGACAAAAGCATTATGAATTTGCCACTAAAAATGTCCATTAATTTTAATGTTTCATTAATTTTATTGAATGTAAAGCAAAGGATTTACTTAATTAATGAATTGTCAGATTTGATGAATTTTCAGAAAATTTAACAACATTTAAAATAATATATTCATATCATAATTATAAATGAAATTATTATTCATTTTCTATTTTGTACAAAATAAATCGATTATCGTTTAAAACTCATTTTGAATTATGACAATAATTTTGTATTTTCCCTCAATTTTATTATATTTAATACTTTAATGATATTTATTACTAAATTATTCATTTTCTATTTTGTACAAAATAAATCGATTATCGTTTAAAACTCATTTTGAATTATGACAATAATTTTGTATTTTCCCTCAATTTTATTATATTTAATACTTTAATGATATTTATTACTAATAACTTAATTATATTGTAATTAATATACTCAAATAAAATATTTTAAACATATATCATAACTTTTTTAATATCACTATTAAACATATAAAGTATTTTAAAGAATTTATTTAAAAATCAAATGTATTTGTCTCTAAAATATATTAAGTTATACAGTATAATATACTGACAAGTGAGTATATTATATATTAAATTCTTGAATTCCATGCAAACACTGTTCCTAACAACTTAAGTCTTAACTGGACATGCTATACTATATGATACTGTATTGATTCTTTTACTTTTACCATACTCATTTTTACTCACTTACTAGTAAGTAAGATATTTTCAGATCTAGTATTATAGAGAATAACATTATCTAAACATTAATTTATCTGTAATTAAAAAGGAAATAAGTTTTAATAATTACGAGCACAGCATTTCTAATCACTACAGTATTTGTTACTTATGTTGTAATTAAAGTCAAATAAAGTTTTATTATAACGGAAGTTATTATTATGTTTCATATTAGTATTAATATAGAATATGCATGAAATATCACACTATTTATGATATATATTAATGATATATTCCACAAATATTCCTATAAAAAAATGTTTTATAAAAAATCTCTATCGAAACAATTATTTAATAAATTGAAAACACCATTGAATTCAATCAATAAAATTCGTTAAGCTGACAATATTTTAGCATGTTACAGTTATCTACTAGAAAAAATCACAATTTACTGTGAAATTCCAACAAATAAACTCAAGATTAGATAACCAGGGTAGTTCTCAATCAATATAAAATATAATACAG